TCTCTCTCTCTCTCTCTGTATGCTTCTAAGTAACTTGGAGGACTCATATATGCAGGTGGGATGACAGAGGAAAAGAAGGTTCAGAAGCGGAAGGTCCTTGCCAAGTGGCTGAAGGAAAATATTTTGAGATTAGGCCCCACATTTATCAAAATTGGCCAGCAATTCTCCACAAGAGTGGATATTCTAGCTCAAGAATATGTTGATCAATTATCAGAGCTCCAGGTGAAAATTATTCTTTATTCTATAAATCATTAAATACCACCCTTCTTTAAATTGGAATATTGTATGCTCATCCATTGTTCCATTTGCTTCTTTGTCTAAAGTCTAAGAGCACTTTTGTTGAGCTAGAAGGTGACAAGGCATCTATTTGTCATCATCATCGTCATTATTATCAATTTCGCTTGCAGTTGGATGATGAACCTCATCTTTCCTATACTTGAAACAAAGAACATATCGATCTCACAAAGATCTAACTGCATTTCCATTGCATGCAGGATCAAGTTCCTCCTTTCCCATCAGAAATTGCTCTGGAAACAGTTAAGGAAGAACTTGGAGCACCCTTAAATGATATATTTGAAAGATTTGACCAAGAGCCAATTGCTGCGGCGAGTCTTGGTAAGTTAAAATTTATTTATGTACCTGGACAAGAAGGTAAAGTTATTAGTGTGGGGTGATGCTTTCAGTTCTATTTGGTTTGTGTTTTCACTTTTTATCTTGTAGGAAAACAAACCATTTTCGCATGTTTTAATTACACTTGTAAAGATATGATTTATCAGAATACTGAAATCTTTTGCTGCAGGTCAGGTCCATCGTGCAAAACTGAAGGGACAGGAAGTCGTTGTCAAAGTACAAAGGCCTGCTCTAAAGGATCTATTTGACATTGATCTTAAAAACCTAAGGGTTAGTGATTAATATTTGAGGTGTCCCTACATTCTGTTTGCATATGGTTATTTTGAAGATTCACTTTCCATAACATTGAGTTCCTGTACACACCAAATCTAAAGGATC